AAGAACTGGAGGGGAATCCTCAAATTTAGGAAAGCTTTTGTTTTGTCCTTAATGACAATGTGAAAGATCTAGTGGGGAGAAAAAGCATCAGGAGGGGAAAAGGTTTTATAGGAACCAAGACTGAATAGTAGATGGAGATAGGTCCATTAAACAAACTTCATTCTTTGTTTCAAGGGAGGGAAGGCAGGTTATATGAGAACAGGTGTAGTTAGGCTGGTGGTTCTCTTTGGAGAACTGGTTAATTGTTCAGTGAATCACCTAGAATATGGTTCCCCTGGTTCTATAAGGGGAGGTGAGATAGGCAAGTCAACTGTTTTGAACTTCCGTTTCTCTTGTCAAACAAGGAAGTATACTAGATTGTTTCTATGGTTCTTTCCAACTCTTAAAAATACTACTTTTCTAATCCCTGAAGTTTATAACATCCCCAATTGTTTTTCTCACTTGGAAAAACTGGCTACTAAGAACACATACTGTTTTTTCTAATTATATTGCTATTCTTAGGTGTTTACCTAACACTTTGTCATCTTAATTTAAAAAAAAATTTTTTTTTAACCTTTATTTATTTTTGAGACAGAGAAAGACAGAGCATGAATGGGGGAGGGGCAGAGAGAGAGGGAGACACGGAATCGGAAGCAGGCTCCAGGCTCCGAGCCATCAGCCCAGAGCCCGACGCGGGGCTGGAACCCACGGACCACGAGATCGTGACCTGAGCTGAAGTCGGACGCTTAACCGACTGAGCCACCCAGGCGCCCCAAGTCATCTTAATTTTTAATTGTACAGTTCAGTAGCGTTAAGGGTGTTCATATTGTTGTGAAACATCTCCAGACTTTTTCGTCTTACAGAACTCTCTCTCCATTAAATAGCTCTCCTTTGCAACCTCCCTGGTAACCACCATTCTACTTCCAGTTTCTATGAATTTGACTACTTTAGGTACCTTATGTAAGTAGATGGGGCGCCTGGGTGGCTCAGTTGGTTAAGTGTCCAACTTCAGCTTTGGTCATGATCTCATGGTTTGTGAATTCGAGTCCCCCATTGGGCTCTGTACTGACAGAGCAGAGCTTGGAGCCTCCTTCGGATTCTGTCTCTGTCTCTGTCTCTGTCTCTCTCTCTCTCTCCTGCTTGCTTTCTCTCTCAAAAATAAATGTTAAAAAAAATTTTTTTTTAAGTAGAATCATGAAGTATTTGTCTTTTTCTGGACTGGCTTATTTCACTAAGCATAGTGTCCTCAAGGTTCATCACTTATGTAGCATATAATGGGATTTCCCTCCTTTTTAAAGCTGAATAATATTGTATATATATACGACATGTTATCCTTTACTATTTTTATTAGACACATTTGTGTGTATATGTAATGAGTTGCCAGTTTTGTGTTTCTTGGTTTAATTTTATTTCAAAATAGTTCTTATAAATAATTTTTGCAAGGCCATTTTATTTTCTGTCTTCCTTTTGCTTTTGGCTGATCTGTTACTCTTTCTATGCTTTAAACTGCTGGTAGCAAATGAGGACATTGACCCAACCCATTCGTAGTAACTGTGACTTTGCTTAAACCCAAACATTCAAAATGAGATGGCTGACTTAGAAAATGGAATACATTTTTAATAGCTTTTCAAAAGAATTTCATTATAACTTGAATCTTTATATAGAAAGTACTTTCATAATTTGCTGACCCAACCTGAGCAGTATTTTTATGATACATATGTGACAAATTTTGTTGAAAGACAAATCTTTTCTCTACCCGGTTTTATTGAGAAATAATTGACATGCGTCACTTGCCCAAGTTTAAGGCATACAACATGATGGTTTTACATATATTGTGAAGTAATTACCACAGTAGGTACAGCTAACATCCCTTTTCTGATATAGATACAAAGAGAAGAAAAATAATTTCTTTTCCTTGCGATGAGAACTTTTAGGATATACTGTCTTGACAACTCTCCTATATATCATACAGCCATGTCAGCTGTGGTCATCATGTTGTACATTACATCCTTAATACTTACAACTGGTAGTCTGTACCTTTTCACCACCTTCCTCTAATTCCCCTTTTTCCCAGTTTTTCAACTCTGGTAACCACAGGTCTGATTTCCTTTTCCGTAGAGTTTGGTTTTTTGTTTGTTGTAGATTCTACATAGAAGTGAGTTCATACAGTATTTGTCTTTCTGTGTCTGACTTCACTTAGCATAATGCCTTCAAGGTTCATCCATGCTTTTGCAAATGGTAGGATTTTCTTGTTTTGTTATGGCTGAATAATATTCCATTGTATATGCCACAACTTATTTATCCATTCATCCATCCATGGACACACATTGCTTCCATGTCTGGGCTATTGTAAATAATGCTGCTATGGGGGCGCCTGGGTGGCGCAGTCGGTTAAGCGTCCGACTTCAGCCAGGTCACGATCTCGCGGTCCGTGAGTTCGAGCCCCGCATCGGGCTCTGGGCTGATGGCTCGGAGCCTGGAGCCTGTTTCGGATTCTGTGTCTCCCTCTCTCTCTGCCCCTCCCCCGTTCATGCTCTGTCTCTCTCTGTCCCAAAAATAAATAAACGTTGAAAAAGAAAATTTAAAAAAAAAAAAATAATGCTGCTATGATATGAACATGGAGGTGCAGAATGCTGGATTGTATCATAGTTCTATTTTTAATTTTTTGAGGATCCTCCATATTGTTTTCCATAATGGCTCTGCCAATTTACGATCCCAGGAACAGTGCACAATGGTTCCCTTTTCTCCACATCCATGCCGGCTTTTGTAATCTTTTTTCTTTTTGATGATGACCATTCTTAACAGGTGAGATGATAATCATTGTGGTTTTAATTTACATTTCCCTAATGACTAATGGATGTTGAGCATCTTTCATGTACCTGTTGGCCTTTCGAGTATCCTTGGAGAAATGTTTCAGGAGGGATAAATTTGGAACTTTTAGTTTTATAAGAGCTAGTAGGCAGTGAATTTAATGAAGATGGTTTATTTTCATTTGTTTTGGTTTGGGTTTTTTGGGTAAATCCTCTATGCGTAGTTCTGTTAGTATCTGTGCAGTGTTCAATAATTCTAATAAAAATTGTTTTGAACATCTTAAGTGACTATACAGGTGATTTATGCTCATAAATATATATTGTTAAGGAATACTTACTAACCAGTGACTTTGAATGGTAGTTGTTAAACAATAGGATTCTAGTAGGTTGTATGAAGACCTAAGGTTCTCTGTGAAAAATCATATTTAAAATTAAGCTAAGTGACAATTTGTGGTGCTTTGTAAGAGCTTTAGCAGTTTTATATATTTTAAGAATTGAAATCTTACCCTGTTTTCCAGTCATCTCCAAAACCTGTCAGTTTTCCAAAAAGTTTGAAAAATGCCAACTCTTTTTTTTTTTTTATGTTTATTTTTGTTTTTGAGAGTGAGAGAGACAGAGCACAAGCAGGGGAGGGCAGAGAGATAGGGAGACACAAAATCTGAAGCAGGGTCCAGGCTCTGAGCTGTCAGCTTGGAGCCTGAGGTGGGGCTTGTACTCACAAACTGAGATCGTGACCTGAGCCAAAGTCGGACGCTTAACCTGCTGAGCCACCCAGGCGCCCCGAAAAATGCCAACTCTTAATCCTGTCCATGTGAAAACACTTTTTATATAGACTTAACGTTGATTTCCTTGAGTACCACTTTGAGACTTCACTCCTATACCCCTTCCATGCTCTTTGCCCTCTTTAGCTTTCATAGCCATAGTGTGTTCTGTATTTGTTTTTAAATCAGTGGGAAAATTGCATGATTTTACGTGGAAATAGTCTTTGGTTTTTAATAGAATGCAGATACAGTGTGGTCATTGTGATTGTATATTCCAGGAGGTTGTTTACCGTTATTGTAAATATTCATTGTCCCTTTGTACTTTTCTGGATGTAGATTGTTCTGGAGCTGTATAGTATAATTCTCCAAAGATAAGAGTTGAGAACTTACTTTGCTGTGGTTATTTGAATAAAAAAAAATGAATGAGAATTTTGAACAACTAGCAGTTCTGTCTTCCACCCTGGCTTTCAGCTTCTCCATTACTTCCCCCACTCCCGGTCTGCCTACCAAGAGGAAGTCACCTACAACTAACAACATGCCACAGTTAGCATCCCTGCACTGAAATTATGTGGAACGTAATCCCAAATTGAACAGAATCCCATTCATGACAGAATGAATGGAAATAAAATTTTCATTTGTGTGGAAACAAAATTTTATATTTTTGGGTATTTGATAAGCTTTAATGCTTTCTAATTAAACCCCCTCTTCCACCTTTTTTTCTTAAGTAAATGTAAATTTTTTGAGGCAAGGACTATGCCTTTCTGTTTACTGCAGAGTCTTGGACATTTGATAAATATTCAGGGAGTATTTAGTTGAGTGGGGATAGATTAATTCAGTCATTTTGTAACAGTTTCAGATACTATAAAAAATATTTACTTTTCTGAGTATATTTTACATTACATTTTTTTTAATTTTTTTTTTTAACATTTATTCATTTTTGAGAGACAGAGAGAGACAGAACATGAGCGGGGAAGGGGCAGAGAGAGAGGGAGACATAGAATCTGAAGCAGGCTCTGGGCTGTCAGCACAGAGCCTGACACAGGGCTCGAACCCACAAACTGTGAGATCGTGACCTGAGCCGAAGTCAGACGCTTAACTGACTGAGCCACCCAGGTGCCCCTTACATTACATATTTTTAAGTAAAATATATTAAACTTAATTGTGAGTATATTTAAGTAATTCTGTGCACTATTCATATTCAAGGTGTGTGAACATTATTTCTTTTTTATAGTGTCTGGCAAATGGCTATATGTAGTCAAATGTGAAACACTTTGGAAGTTTTATTATTTTAAAGTAATGTTTGAATTCTGTTATATAGTCAGTGGGCTCTGTTTTTTCTGTTATCTCCATCAGTGGAATATGGGCAATACATGAACAAATGTGTCTATGTATTTATATCCTATTGGCATTTTAAAATTTGAAAAGTAATTTCTGTATTTTTATTTTTCAGAAGAGCTTAGCCGAACCTTCAAGGTCTAATGGAAGTGTGGCTCGCCATTCCTCATCTCCATATGTAGTATATCCACCTGATAAGCCTTTCCTTAATAGTGATCTACGACGCTCTCCAAATAAGCCTACGTTTGCCTATCCGGAAAGTAACAGCAGAGGTAACAGAGCCTAACAAAATAGATTGGTTTTTTTGTTTGTTTGTTTGAATAGAGCCTAACAAAACAGATGGGGTTTTTGTTTGTTTACCCACTGCTTAAAAACCGTTATGTCTTCCATGTATTTTTAAAATTAGAGGAAAATCTATTTTCCCCTTCCTGTTTCTTCCCTTCTCAAAATATAGTACCTTTCTTCTGTTTATTGATCGTTGAACACTATCTTCCACCAAATCATCAAGGCTAAATACTTTGGGAACTCTGGACTGCCCTGTCATCTGTAATATCAGTCAGGGACCAAAAACCGGTGTTTTGCCTCTGAAGTGTCCCAAAGACTTATTTGTTCTGTCTCTCCATTCGCATTGCTTTAGTTCAGGCTCTCATCATCTATTGCATAGGTAATTGTAATGCACTCCTACATGATTGCTTAGCCTGTGGTTTGCCTTTCAGCCCCATTCTTGCCATTTGCTGTTATCCATCATCTCTCCCACTTAAACAAATTTCAGCACCTCCTCATGGCTTACATAACAAATTCGTAGATTTTTCATAAACTTGACTCACTATACCTTACCAGTTTCATCCCTTGCTTCTCTTCTGTTCTTCCTTACCCACACATCCTTCGCTCTGGCTTCTTTGAAATACCTGCATATTTGTTTGTGGAGCTTGCCATCTGTATTAGCTTTCTTGCTGTCTTAACAAATTACCATGATTCAGCAGCTTTAACACAAATGTATTATCACAGTTTCTGTAGGTCAGAAATGTGGATGGGCTCAACAGGGTTCTCTGTTTAGGGGCCTACGCAGCCGAAAGCAAGGTTTTGACTGGGCTGTGTTCCATACTGAAGAGTCTAGGGAAGAATCTGCTCTCAGCTCATTCAGATTTTTGTTCAAATTAAGTTACTTGTGGTCATAGAGCTGAGGTTCGGTTGTCTTGCAGACTTTCAGTCAGTGCTGGATTTTGCTCCTGGAGGCCGTCTGCATTCCTTGCCATGCTTTCTTTATGTCCCCCTTCAGCAGTGGTGGGTCAGGTCTCTTCATGCGTCATACACTCTGACTTCTGCTGCTGCATCTTTCTAGCCACAGCTGGGGAAAATTGTCTGCTTTTAAGCGTTCGTGTGATTGGTTAGATTGGGCCGACAATGAGGAATAATCTCCCAATTTTAAGGCTTGCAACTTTAGTAACCTTTCCCAAAGTCCTTTTTGCCATATAGCAGGTATTTAGAATTTCAAGGAGTAGGACATAGCTATCTTTGGGTGTCCATTCTGCCTTCCACACCAGCCATGTGTCAGGCTTACAAGTCTTTCTCATGCTGTGCCCTCTTTTTGAAATCTTTCTGTTGTAAAATTATAGATGTTATTGGATTGATTCCAAAAAAAATTATAAAAGCTTAATGAATCTAATTAAACAGTTCACAACACCATGATCTGAAGGGATAAAAGAAGCCTGTTTACTATCTTACACATTATATTTTCTTGTGTTTACTTTCCTCTTCCATCACCGTTTTTGCTCTTCTCTCTCATATTCCTTAAAACCACTAGTGACGCACAAGCAGAATTTAATATTATTGTTAACACACTGGTCTAAATACTAAATAAACATTTCCTGACTCTCTTCTCTACGAATAAATCTGCCCCGTTTAACTTTTCTTACTCTTTCATTCTTTAGTAATTACTTTTCTCTGAACTTATCTTAGAAGTTTCTTTATATAGAAGTAAATATCAGAACTGGATGTAATGTTGTAGTGGGAGGATTGATTCCTAATTCCTAGACCACGTATTCATGGCAGACCTCTGTTGGCATGATTATTGTGTGTGTGTGCTAAATTATTACTAAATCTTACCTGATTCTTCTCCACTGTGGGCTTTGTAGATTTTTTTGTGCTTTTTTACCATATGTTGTTTGAATGTTTTGCAAGTTTTATTTTTTGAAATTGCCAAAGTCTTTAACTGCTGTGTTCTGATGAGTAGCACTTTATCAGTTGCTCTAATTAGCATTTTCTTTATTATCATCATCTTTGAGACACCGTATCCTATAAATAAGAGGTTTCTAGTTAGTAAGTTGAGTATTGAATATGTTAAAAAACACCAGACTTTGGGGCACTTGAGTGGCTCAGTTGGTTAAGCATCCGACTTCACCTCAGTTCATGATCTTGTGGTTGGTGGGTTTGAGCCACGCGTCGGGCTCTGTGCTGACAGCTCAGAGCCTGAAGCCTGCTTCAGATATTCTCTCTCTCTCTCTCTCTCTCTCTCTCTCTCTCTCTCTCTGCCCCTCCCCCACTCATGCTCTGTCTCTCAAGTCTCTGTCTCTCAAAAATGAATAAATGTTAAAAAAAAAAAAAAAAAAACCACCAGACTTCTGGTTAAATTCATTTTAGTAAACACTTTTGAAACCTCATTATGGCCTAGGTTTTTACATTGGTGACTATACTTAAATATTATTATCTACCTTGTACTGTACTACACAATCAGTTCACAGTTTACAAATGTCAGTTTAACCTATATGTGGTTGAAACATAACACTTCTTTTATGTAGAGAATCATTAGTAAATACACTTGGCCTAGTACTAGTGATTAAACACAAATTTTAAAACAGCAAAATGTGGTTGTGTGGTAAAGTGAATATATTTCATTTAATTTTCACAGAACAATTATATAATTATATTCAAAATGTACACATAGAGTAACATCTCAAATATGATTAGTTTAATATGTGATATTATAACTCTTTACTCATTCCACATTTTCCCCAACTGTTTAGTGGACCCTCAAATATTTATTGAATGAGTTAAGTCTTATTTTGAATAGATACTCCCTATTAAAAAATTTTTCTTCTTTACATGTAATAAATGCTTTTCTTTTTCTTTCTTTTTTTTTTTTTTTTTTTTTTTTTTTTTTTTTTTTTTTTTTTTTTTTTTTTTTTTTTTTGCACTGATACTTTAGGGGAATAAAGACTTGTGATTCTTCTTAAGTTCTAGTTTAATTTTTTCATTTGATAAATTACCATTTCACTTTGCACTCTGCTAATAACTTTGAAAATATAATTTGACTAATGCCATAGAAAGGGATAATTAAACTATGTTTCTTGTAATTCTCATTTTCATACTCATTTTGCGTTTTAGTTAGAAAAGAGGTGAACAAGAAATTGGAAGTTATTGGTGCCTTCAGAAAATGTATTGTCCTTGGAGCCCTTTAAAAAAATGGTAACTAATGTATGTCATTCCAAAAAAGTTTAATCTGTTGTTTATGTTATTAGTTTAATGCATTTCAGATGATGGTAGTATGCAGAATGGCTTGGACATTTGAAGCAAGGTAACCAACTATGAGGCAATACTACTAGCCAGTGCTTCCAAACCTTTCATTTCATCATAGTACATGTGGAAAATGAAATGATAATACATGTACAGCTCATGGAGGTAAACTGATGGGGCTGATGGCGCCTAGTCTGGTATCTTTTACGGTGCCAGGCCACTCATGGCTGAGAGCTTAGAGAGAAACAGTCTTGAACTATTACAAATTTGTGTCACACTTACTGGAAAAAGCTCAGTATTCTTGTGATCAGTGAGAGGAGTCAAGTTATGGCTATGGTGTTAGGTATTAATAACAATTTACTGCCCATCTGTTCTCCTGAAGCATTTGTTGTCAAATTTTTTAATCCAAGAAACCCTAATAAACCCATTACATGTTTGCATAAACATTTTAATGAAGAATAACTATTTTCCAAATTTAAAAAATATACTATTAAGAGTGACATTGTTTTATTTTATACTTTATAAATCTACTTCTGGCTTCATAAAAGACAGCTTGATTCTCCTCTATTTTTGCATTCCATTTGTGTGGATAAGTTGTTTTGATTGAAGTATGAAAAAAAAATCTGGCCTTACACAGATGTGTAGGTAGAAAATAAATAGTATTCTAATAATTTTTCCAACAATTTGTGGATATTTTTATTTGATACTACTCTAAAACGTGGCCATTGGTAGTTTCTTAAAATTTAGTTGCATTGTGGAAACTGAAAACATTGGTGAATTTTTCATATTCTGGGATCTCAGGGCCACGTACCCGATTAACTAGGAGGACTGACCTCACAAGTTTCAGAAGTGGTTCTAATTATGGCCGTGGCTTATTACAGTAGAATCTGAAGGAACCCAGATGCAGGCTTCTAAATTTCTCTCTTATGGAAGTCACACAGAAAGACATTTCTTCCTACAGCTGTAAACTGTATGATGTGTGCAGTGTTTCTGCCCAGGAAAGCCCACTTAAGGCTCAGACACTATGGCTTTTATTTGGAGCTGGTCACACAAATATTTGGCGCCTGCACAGTCATGCTATTCACCATAAAACACATTGTTTTCACAATCGAGACAGGCTTGCCCAGAAGGATTTAGTGTTAGGCATACAAAACAACCTTATTAATTAGTAACATAGGGAGCATTCCAAGAGCCTAGTTTCCAGAGGCTAGCCAAGGTTCAGGCCTTCTGTATAAACTCTTTTGTGTGAGAATTTATTTTTTAATTGAAATATAGTTGACATAAAATATTACATTAGTTTCAGGTGTGAAGCATAATGATTGGACTCTTCTGTGTATTCTGTTCTCACCATAGTAAGTGTAGTTTGCTATCTGTCACCATACAGTGTCATTACAGTATTATTGGCTATGTTGCCTATGCTGTATTTTTCATCCCCATGACTTATTTCATAACTGGAGTTGGTATCTCTTAATCACCTTCACCTATTTTGCCCATCTCCCACTCTTCTCCCTTCCGGCAGCTCCTGGTCTTCTGTATTTATGAGTGTGTTTCTGTTTTTGTTCGTGTGTCAGGTGTGGGATTTTTGTTGTTTTTCTTTGTTTTGGGTTCCACATACAAGTGAAATCATTTGGTATTTGTCTTTCTCTGCCTTATTTCATTTAGCATAATACTCTCTAGGTCCATTCTTGTTATGTATCAGCAAGATTTTGTTCTTTTTTATGGCTGAGTAATATTCCATTGTATATGTATATTAATCCATTATACATAAATGTGTGGAATATGTAATATTTTATATACCACATCTTTATTCATCTATGATTTGCTTTTGTATCTTGGCTGTTGTAAGTAATGCTGCAATAAACATAGGAGTGCATATATCTTTTCAGATTAGCATTTTTGTTCTCTTTGGATAAATGTTCACTAGGGGAATCACCAGATCATACGATATTTCTGTTTTTAGTTTTTTGAGGAGACCTCCATAATGTTTCCATAGTGGCTTCCCCAGTTTATATTGTTATCAGCAGTGTGTGAGGGATCGCTTTTCACATCCTTGTCAACACTTGTCACTTGTCTCTTGATACTAGCTGTTCTGACTAGTGTGAAGTGATATCTCACTGTGGTTTTGACTTGTATTTCCCTGATGGCTAGTGATGTTGGACATCTGTTCATGTGTCTGTTTGCCATCTGTATGTCTTCTTTGGAAATGTCTATTCAGATCTTCTTCCCATTTTTAATTGGATCATTTGTGGGGTTTTTGGTGTTGAGTTTTAGGAGTTCTCTGTTTATTTTGGATGTTAACAGCTGATCAGATACATGATTTGTAAATATCTTTTCCCATTCAGTAGGTTGCCTTTTCATTTTGTTGATGGCTTCCTTTGCTGCATAAAAGCTTTTTAGCTTGATACAGCCCCAGTAACTTATTTTTTTGCTTTTGTTTCTTTAGCCTAAGGAGACATATCCATAAAAATGTTAAGGCTGGTGTCCAAGAGATTACTGCCTGTATTTTCTTTTAGATGTTCTATAGCTTCAGGCCTCACATTTAGGTCCTTAATCCATTTTGAGTTTATTTTGGGGCATGGTGTAAGAAAGTGGTCCAGTTTCATTCTTTTGCATGGAGCTGTCCACTTTTCCCAATGCCACTTATTGAAGAGACCATCTTTTGCCCAGTGTGTGTTCTTGCCTCCTTTGTCATAGATTAATTGATCATATAAATGTACTTTTATTTCTGGGCTTTCTATCCTGGTCCATTGATCTGTGTGTTTATTTTTGTGCCAGTACCGTAGTGTTTTGATGATTACAGTTTTGGAATATGTCTTGAAATCTGGGATTGTGATACCTCGAGCTTTGTTTCTCTTTCTCAAGATGGCTTTGGCTATTTAGGGTCTTTTGTGGTTCCATACAAATTTTAGGATTATTTGTTCTAGTTCTTTGAATAATAGAGTTAGAGTTTTGATAAAGATTGCATTGAATCTGTAGACTGCTTTGGGTAATATGGACATTTTAACAATGTTTCAATCCATGAGCATGGTATATCTTTCCATTTTTTTGTGTTGTTGAGGAGTGTTTAAACAAATAATTTTGCTGATACATAAGCCATTCCAGAATGTAGAAAAGGAAAGCATATACCCCACCTTGGGTCTTTTTTTAATCCAGTATATCCCTGTGATACTGCAGTTGCTGACATACAGAACAGAAAATCGTGTGTTCCAGCCAGTTGCATTAATGACCATAAATGCGGAAGTAAAATACTAGCAAAATCATACACAATTATGTATAATCTAATGAAGGAATGCAAGAAATGTTTGGTATTACAAAGTTTTATTTAAAAAAATGCTTTTTAATATTTATTTTAGAGAGAGAGAGAGAGTGTGAGTGGGGGAGGGGCAGAGAGAGAGGGGCTAGGCTCCAGGCTCTGAGCTGTCAGCACAGAGCCCAACGCAGGGCTCGAACCTACAAACCACCGGATCATGACCTAAGCTGAGGTCTGACTGAACCACCCAGGCTCCCCTACAAAGTTTTATTTTAATAAATACTTCTTAGTGGTTTAGAAGAAGAAGTTTTAAAAAACCTCAAATTGATATTAAAAAACATTTATTTTCTGTTTTCATCTTACATGTGTTATATAATTATTCCAGGTATTTTAGAGAATTATTTAATTCCTTTAAATACTAATCTTAAATCTGGACTCTTCTATTCTCATAGTCTTTTCAGTTGGTTTTTTAGTTTTCTAAGTTGTATGTGTTTCATGTTTATGTTTAATTACACTGTAGTGTCACCGCATACTAGGAGTAAACTGGCTCTATTATAAAATGTATCAATCTCATGTTTGGGGCCTGTAACATTCTAGGCACTAAAATTTGGTGAATGAATGAATTACATTACTAAATGGAAAGGTGTGCCTTGTTTTGAGTGAGAACCCTCGATTTTTAAGACGGCAGTTCTTCCGACCTATTATGCGGTTTCCATGAAGTTTCATGGAAATCGTTGTTTAGGCAAAATGGTTCTGAATATTTAATTGGTAAGAATAAATAACTTTGAAATGTTTTAAAAGTTTATATAGTGTGGGAGACTGTCACTATGATGTTTATAAGGTTTCAATAGTTAAAATACTGGAATAATGAATCAATAAAAATACTGAAACTGTAATTTCAGGTATGTGTGTATGAGACTATGGTAGAAGGTATATGTGTGTTAGTAATAATAATACCTATATATCTTAGTACTTGTGTGAATTTGGTATATGAGGCAATCGCCCTTTAAAGTTCTTCCTTCAAAACAAAAGTATCTTTTATTTCACATAAAGAATTAAATGTAAGAATATGTGAAACTCTAAGTGTAACAAAAGGAACATGTAAAGTTTATGTATTCTTGACGTTGAAGAGCATTCTATCTTTGTAAAGAAATTGATGCAAAAGATTTCTCATTATAATGATATAAAAAATCAGAACAGCTTTATACCAAAACTGACAGCATCTAAACTGGAATTAATAAACTAATAAAATCAATGGGGCAACTTTTTCTTAAGGAATTCAAAAGAAAATTGGCCAATAATATATATTTAAAAATCTTCAAACTTTTAATAGAAATGCAAATTAAAATAACCAGTAGTAGCTTTTGTTTCTTAATCAGACTAACCGAAACAGAAATAGTGTAATTAATAGTGGGGTGTGTTGGCAAAGACACATACTTTTAATGAAAGTATAAATTGATACAACCCTTTATGAAGGTACTTTACTTTCAAGAGCCTTTCAAATACGGATGTTTTAAATATGGATATTCTTGGACCCAGTAACTTCATTTTTAATTTTTAATTATTGTTATGAGATAATCTTTTAAGATGATCTGATTATATGAGGGAATGCTCAGTTTATTATAGTGCTAAAGTGAAAAAGAAATCATAAATTTTAATCTCAATTTATTTTGCATATATCAAAAAAGATTGAAAGAAATAACCAAAAATGGTAGTCCTTATCTATTGGTAGTAGGATTATAAGTTATACACACACACACACACACACACACACACACGTATGCTGCTTTTTTATATATATTCTTCTTTTATATATTTTATAATCAGAAATTTTTGGAGGTCAGTTTAAAGAGTGATTAGAATTTTTCCTATATAATGAAAAAACTGAGACTTAAAAAAATAATCCTTTTTGTGCTTGATATCTTTAACTCTACAATGGGAGTCTGCATAGGATTCTGTTAATAAAACAAAAAGATTGACAGTTAATATACTTGAGGTTACATATGAATTTTGTGTGATTAATTTTGTATGATTAAATATTTTTACCATTTTATAAAATCTTTGTGATCTTTTGCCATAATAAGTTGTTTACTTGAGTACCTAGCACATTTCAGAGACTCAGAAAGATATCTTTAAGTAGGTTTTTAAAAAAAACAATTACGTGGCAATAATTAACATTCCATTGTTCCCAAAGAGTGATTCTCTCCTGGGCCTACCTGTCAATTTTATTTTTTATTTAGATTTGCATATTTAAAAATAATTTTTTTAGTGTTTACTTTTGAGAGAGGGAGAGAAAGAGCACAAGCTGGGGAAGGGTAGAGAGAGAGGGGACTGAGGATCCAAAGCAGGCTCTGCTGTCAGCACGGAGCCTGATGTGGGGCTTGAACTCCCCAACCATGAGATCATGACCTGAGCCAAAGTCAGACGCTTAACTGACTGAGCCACCTAGGGTGCCCCAAGATAAGTATGTTTTTTATTGAACTTTCTCCATATATATTGTTACATTATTCATGTTTGGATTTGGCAGCCATATTTTCTGCTCTGAAGAATCTTCAAGATAAGATTCGACGCTTAGAACTTGAAAGGATTCAGGCAGAAGAAAGTGTGAAAACCTTATCTAGAGAAACAATTGAATATAAGAAAGTATTGGATGAACAGATTCAAGAAAGAGAGAATTCAAAGAATGAAGAGTCAAAGCATAATCAAGGTTTGTTTAATTATGAAGGAAATGAAACTTACAAATACACAAAATACAAAATGAAATACACAAAATAAGACTTGTAAAATTATTGTAAAAGCAAATTCACGATAGTGTTTTCTAGTGGTCAGTATCTTTGGGCACTCCAGAACTGCATTATACTTGAGTACATTCTGAGGAACACGTGGTGATGCCTTGCATTATATTTACTGATCAAATTCAAGACAGATTGGACTAGCATATAGAAAGAGAATGACTTAGGTCATCTGAATAGGCTTCTAGAGCTATTGGAGAGGGTTTATTGTATACACAGTAGATTTAATTCCCATTAACAGCTTGTTACAACTGTTGTATGAGTGAGCTAATTTCTGTTTATGTATTCTGTTTAGAATTGACATCTCAGTTATTAGCTGCAGAAAATAAATGTAATCTTTTAGAAAAACAGTTGGAATACATGCGCAATATGATAAAGCATGCAGAAATGGAAAGGACATCTGTCTTAGAAAAACAGGTATGGTGCCTCACAGATTCATTCACAGCAGTAGCTATGGGGGAAATTAGACTGACATAAAGATCTTTTTTTCTCAGTGAAAACTAATGGTTCTGTTATAATAATCATTTCTCCTTTTATCCAAATCACTGATAGTAGTGCCACTAGTTCATTTTGAGAAACAACTAAGTGTAAGCTTTGAGAAAAATGTGATTTGTTGTTTTAACATAGCTATAAAGAGGCTTCCTTTTTGGATGACCCTCACACACACTGCATATCTTCTGCACACAGCTTTGATAGCTTCTGCTTTTGAACAATGTAACAGCCCACGACTGAAATTACTTGGGATCGTTTATAGGGTGGGGAAGAGGGTAGTCCGTTCAATCTGCCATATGATTGGAAATGGCAAAACATATATAGTAACATAGTCATTCTCTACTTTGGAATATTCCAGTTCTTAGCTTAGAAAGCATCTATAAGTGAGATGTTTTGACTAATCTCTATTAAGCATAAATATTAAATAACCTTGTTTATTCATCAGTGAATTTAATCATCAGTGAATTTTAAATAGCCCATTTCATAAGAATGGTTCTGATACTGGAAATAAAATATGATTTCGCCAATTTTTAACTTAATGTATTTTTTAAGGGCAGCAAATATCCATAAAGGTGGATTGGAAGGATCCACTAAGGTGGATTGGAAGGAATTAGTAATTGACACAAACTCCTGGGGAAATTACTGCTTTATTTAGTCATATTCATATTTCTGTTAGTATGATACCTATTGCTATAGTCTTATCTATGAAGATATACTATTTATAAATTCAGGTACTTAGTGTTTTGGCTTTTTACCAATAGACCTCAATTTAGCATATTTCTACTAATCCTAGTTTAATGGTTTACCCTGTGACTGTCAGGGGGCATTCTTTTCAAAGCCTTAATACTAGACCTAAAAATAATACTAATAGATGTTTTGTATAGAATTCAGAGGAAGCATAAATTATAGATACAAAAAACATAATTGTTGCCTTTAGAAATTAACTGTGTAAGAGAACCAGACTCATTGAAAGTATTAGCCCATATATCTAAAAACTCTCCGCTGAGTATAACAAAAGTCTCAGGGTATAGAACCTACTGTTATAATGGTATATAGTAGGAGCAGGATTCCACTTGTGTTTATTGATTTCTTTATCCTGTGGTTTCATCTTAACATTGTTTTCCTAGAATTTCTCTGTAGTATAGAAGTTCTGTGAAAGGCCAGATATTATAGTATATTCTAAGTTATGCCCAGTATTATTTGTGTTTTGTTTTTTTGTCAAATTCTCATGTTTGTGTTTACTACTATTTTCCAGGTTTCCCTCGAAAGAGAACGACAACATGATCAAACACATGTGCAGAGCCAGCTTGAAAAGTTAGATCTTCTTGAACAGGAGTATAACAAACTTACCACAATGCAGGCCCTGGCAGAAGTCAGTGCATGATACTGTTTCTTTTGTAAAATTGATCATTTTATAATACCGGCTATTCATAAGAAGAAAAGTGATCTTGTAGCAAAGAAACAGGAATTTTTAAGAGGAAGAAATGTAAATTTGGAAAGGGTGTTCACATTTTCTAATCTTGATTTACATAAGAAGTTCTTTTTGAAAATGTTGGAAGCTTAAATGTTTTAAGCATCAATAAGACCTGTATCACTTGGTTTAAGTTGTTGCCTTTAGTTTTAATTGATTCACTTGGGAGGTGTTTAATACCACTGAGATTAACATTCCAAATTTAGCTTCCATGTAGCCTATATGCCTTCATACGAAACTGTATTCTTTGGCCATAGATTTTACCCACAATTCTGTTTAACTACCTCACAGCTACTTCACAAATGACTAATAATGAATCACAGAGGAGAGCGTCATGGTTACTGGCAAGCACAGAGTCATTACTAGAGTGAACAAGCTTGTGTTTACTGTGCTAAAATTTTATAGCACATTCCTGTGTTGCTGTATTAAAATTTTACAAACAGACACTAAGTCTTTCACTAACCACTTTTAATATTTATATCACTAGAAAAAAATGCAAGAGTTGGAAGCAAAACTCCGCGAAGAAGAACAGGAACGGAAACGTATGCAAGCTAAGGCAGCCCAGGTAAGCTGCAGTGTCAGCAGGCAGGCTTCCCAGATTTCATACACCTCTTTGTGTCAAAACAAAAGATTCATTGTGGACTTCTTACATCATTTATATTTTGGAGGAGTCTACTATATAAATTCTCAGACATAGCTTGATATGGAAAATTATTAACATATTTTTGTAGGCGAAGAGTAAAAGTTGAGCAGTTTTTTAGAGTTGTTCAAATTGTGGGTTTTAATCAGCATTTTAAAAAAATCAATGGACTAAAAACCATCAGAATAATAATACATAAGGATGTAAAACTTCTCACTTGGGTCACTGTTGGAAATGTTGGAAAACCATCATTTAGTTTCCTGCTTACACGTTTTCCTTTCCCTTGGTGGCCTCAAAACACCAGGACAGAAATTGAGGTAGTGGGCTGCCCCAATCAATTGTGACCATACCAATTCACAAAAGCTACTGGATAAGGAAAGTGAGCTCTGTTTGCTCCTAGTCTTTGATTTTAGCCCATGCATTGGCCACCAGGTAGGATAGGTGAGGCAGTGTGAATCCACACAAACATTGAATTCTTATGTATACGAACCAGAACCACATTTCTGAACGATGCAGCAATACTTTTGTTCCCAGTGAGTCTTACTGACAGGCTCAATAAAATACCTTGTTCGTAATTGAAGACTCTTTTAAGAGCTTATTTATTCAAATACCTCCTATTTTCCCTCCCACTTCCAGAGTCTTAAAACATTCATATGTATCTTTTCTCATATTAACCCAAGAAGCAGGTCTTGATTCCAGAACAGTTAGGAGCAGAGGGTCTGCAGCTTAGGCTGTGGTCAGAGGCCAGCAGTGTCCTGAGTTCCGTTCATATGTGGGCTTGCAGGGCTGTAAACATCTTGTTATCCTTGTCACCTTGTCTGTTGCTTCCAGAACCTCCCAGAACTCTCTGATTTAACATAGTCTCTTTCTATTAAACCTGATATATTTTCTTTCTCAAATATTTACCTCGTGTTGTATTTTTTCCTCACTGTGCTGAGTTCTGTGGTCATGTGGGCTTTATTTTTGATCACAGCAAGTTTTGAAATGACTTGGTTTCTCTGCCCATTCTACTGTAAGGTCAGCCACTTTACTGTATGTCCATTTCCACACTTGTAACATGCAAACTCATAAATTGTGCTCTATATACATTGTGGTGGTGAGTTTTATTGTACATGAAATAAAATTAAACAAGTTCGTTATTTTATTAATTTAAAAAGTTATTTTACAGTATTTTCACTTTTTCATTTAGCAGGCATAATATAGGGACCAAGTCAGTTATTATATCAGTAAAGCTTTTTTGAGTTCTGAGAGTGAATGCTATTCTAGTAGAATACCAGTGACCAGGGATCGTACGTCGTTCCAAGTCAAGCCAACCTTAACTTGTATGGTCTTGGGCAAGATATTTAACCATTCAGAGCTTGGATTTTACCATTGATGAAGTGGTTTTCATTTTATATCTTCCTAGTGTTGGAGATATCAAATGAGAGAAAAGACAATGAAAGCACTTAAAAATGTTAAAACTCTGCCACACAAATATATGACCAATTACTGGGAAGAATTAAACTGGAAGTTAAAACATTTTTTAAAAATTGTTACTTTTATACTATTCAAACCCATTGGCTTCATAAGTCTCACACAGTAATAATTTTATCAGAGTAGTAATTTTATGTTCAATGAATTCTGTCTATTCAGTTGACTGTGTATAAAGCATTGTTAGATGTGTGAGAATGTACATGCTCCCGAGGGTAGGCATCCCTGTATTCCTTTGTCTCTGAATAGATTCTGTCCCTAAAGAATGCAGTCATTGTGGGAGTTAGTATTCTCGGTATTTCTTTTTAACTCATCCATTGGTTCTGAGTGTTCCAACTCCATCATAATTTCCTGGGGAACTTTAAAATACTTTTAAAAACAATGAGGTCCAGAGAGGATCCCGACAATCTGAATGTTTCTCCTAAACCCCAGACGAATTTGATACATAAGCTCGTTTGAAAACCATTATTCTAGACAAAGACAAAAGGTGTGATAGTATTTGCTGACGTACCTTCCAGTTCTTTTGGACATAAAATTTCCAGTTTTCATTTTCTTATGATGTAAGGGTGTTAGTTTTTAAAGAGGGAGAAATGTATTTTGCCCTCCAGCCGCTTTGTGTCTGGCACTGATGTAGTTGCCATGTGTAAAAAAGAAGAAAATATTGAAGCATTGGTTTGGATTCAGATATATTGTATTTAGCTCATTAGGTATAATTTATGGAGCAACTACAAATAATGGAGCTAAACGGTTCCAAACTGGGGCGGGGGGGGGGGGGGGGAAGGACAAGTTGTAGCACAGTACTTCAGGATAAAATGAGGGACTTGTATTGATTTAAAATATTTGGGGTGCCTGGGTGGCTTGGTCGGTTGGGCGTCCAGCTTCGACTCAGGTCATGATCTCACGGCCCATGGGTTCGAGCCCCGCGTCGGGCTCTCTGCTGACCGCTCGGAGCCTGCAGCCTGTTTTGGATTCTGTGTCTCCCTCTCTCTCTGCCCCTCCCCTGTTCATGCTCTGTCTCTCTCTGTCTCAAAAATAAATAAACGTTAAAAAATTAATTAATTAAAATATTTGGAAAATGTTCACAGATTGATTCAAGACATAATTACGCAGCTATGATAATGTTTTTCTGTTTCTCTATTAGAGGTTTCTACAGATCTTTACATGGCAAATCTAATAGCTTTTATTTCTGTAGCATTAACTTTAGGCTGTCCTGTTTTTCTTAGTTGCAGACTGGTCTAGAAACAAATAGAATTATCTTTGAAAATAAGGCAGCTCCATGTGTTCCCAGTGCAAGAAGAGTTAAAAAAAAGAAGTCAAAACCACCAGAAAAGGTATGAAAACAGTACCAATAAGTCAAAGTGCTGATTATTACTGAGTGTAATTTGTGTGAAAATACTCCTACAACTGTGTGGTACCCAGTCTTGGAATAAATCTTCACTCTCCGTTTCTTCATTGGGAAGATGGGGATAAGTAGTATCTACTTTTAAGTTTTACCCTGGTAGTGAGATGGTATATATGAAAGCATTTTAGAACTGCAAAACATTGCCCAGATCTGTATTATTCAGTATTGCTCAGTGTTTTTATGTATATGTGAATATAAATACATATATGTATATACTGGTTCTTAGACTGTACTTGCTGTTTTGGCAGGTACGATTTTTTTCCTTCCTAGCCTTTCCGAGGCTAAGAGGCATGTTGTCAGGTATTACTAGGAGCTCAAGAATATACCAATATCAGTAAAGCAAATAGTAGCCCAAGAGTACACTGAAATTTTAGATTAGTCATGTGAGTAAACTTGTAAGTAAACTTACCATCATGTGAGTAAACTTGTTTTTTGTTTGTTTGTTTTGTTTTGTTTTGTTTTGTTTTGTTTTTCCTTTCCATTCAGAAAGGTTCTAGGAACTATTTTACTGCACAACCACATTATAGATTATGCTTGGGGGATATGCCTTTTGTAGCTGGAAAGGTGAGTTGCTCCAACTCTGGATTTTTTTTTCCTTTACAATTTAGCTCTTTTAATTAAATCCACTCATCTGCCTGTATGCCTGTAAATGGTGAAAACATTTTTCTGCCCTTTTACTCGTATGGATCATAGTGATATAAGAAAGAGATGGAAGAAGGTTTTATGGGATTGGGGGAGCAGGGAAAAGGCTAGGAGGACTTTAAAGCAGATAAAGTATTTGTGGAAATAAAGATATGAACAATATCACAGACTCTGGTTTAGAGAAGGTATGGTTGTAGATAAGAGTAAATGAAATGGCAAATGGTATTACTTGTAGCGTTGGAATTTTAGTATCAGTCCTGCTCATTTATATTTAAATATAGTAGATATTTAAATAAATAGAAATCACATCCTATTTGTCCTCACATGCATCATTCTCCAAGAAGCAGTCATAAATAGACCTGAATCTTATGTTCCTTTAGTGTTTAAATGTAGAGATAATTTTGTCAAATATCAGGAAGTACTAAGTGATTTCTAATAAGTGCTTAGCACTGTGTTAGTTTATAGCACTTTTTCATTAGCTCTATGTTGCTGGTTGTTTCTTGCATAGATGCCTTGAATACCCAACTAAGTAGTGAGTTTGAGAGGCTTAGGGAATAGATTTTAATCTTATTTATTTATTTCTTTTAACCCCACAATAAATCCTTGGTGAAAGCTTGGGGAGTGAACTAATTTCTAACTTTTCCATTTGCCCTTTGTGGATGTGTGAGGCACAAATCACTTAAAAAATATATATATGTATATATATATATATATATGTATATGTATATATATGTATATGTATATATACACACACATATATATGTGTATATCTATATATGTATTTATATTTAATGTCCTTGTCTCTATGCTGTTCTTCACCCTCAATTTAATCTCTTGTTGGATTGCAGAATATCTTTTGACGTATGTTTCTTCCTTTGTCTCTTAATCCTACCAACCTGCTTTTGCTTCACCGTAAAATCTGTTGGGTTGGAAGTAGAGGTTCTCAAGGGCTGACCAGCTACATTAGCATCACTGAGTACTGCATTTGAAAAAGCCGATTATGAAGCCCCACCACAGTCCTACTAAGTCAGAATTCTCTGATGGGGTCCTAGAAAGTTGTGTGTGTGTGTGTTTGTTTTTACTGTTCCCTGATTTCAGTCTAATGTTCAGTTAGATTTGGGACCCACTTAATAAAGTTCTCTGCCTAGTGTTTTCATTATGTAAATATCCAAAACAGTAGTTGTGTACTCTGTTCAGATGTATTTCTAGACCACTTTATTTGTAAGTTCTTAAGTGAGTTGAAATCTTTCACTGTGTAAATTCTATTCATTGCTCTTTTTCTGCTCTCAGGCATCCACATGAGCCCTTGACTGTAGGGAAATATTTAAACTTTTGAAAATAACTTTATTCTCATCTCCTTATTCTATTTTGGGTTATAAACAAACACTTCCTTTTTCTTCAGCTATGAGTTTTTTGTTTTTTTTTACCACCTCATCACTCTCTTTCTAAATTGAATGTAGCCCTCTAAATGCAGTGTGACTAGCACAGAATAGTCTTTGTCACATTCTGGGAGTCTGTCAACTCAGCCTAGCATCATATTAATGTTCTGTGGGAAGCTTCATCCTCCCTCTCATTAATTAAAAAAAATTTTTTTTAATGTTTATTTTATTGAGAGAGAGAGAGAGACAGAGCGCAAGCAGAGGTGGGGCAGAGAGAGAGGGAGACACAGAATCTGAGACAGGCTCCAGGCTCTGAGCTGTCAGCACAGAGCTCAATGCAGGGCTCAAACTTGTGAACTATGAGATCATGACCTGAGCCGAAGTTGGCCACTTAACCGACTGAGCCACCTAGGCGTCCGGCACTCGTTAATTTTTAATGTTTATTTATTTTGAGAGAGAAAGAGAGAGGGAGGGTAGGAGGGAGAGGAAGGGACAGAGGGAGGGAAGGAGAGGGAGAATCCCAAGCAGGCCCCATGCTGTCAGGGCAGAGCCCGATACAGGGCTTGATTCCACATCATGAACTGAGCCAAAATCAAGAGTCAGACGCTTAACCCATTGAGCTACCCAGGTGCCCTTTAGAGTCAACTGAAGTAACAGGTATTTTCCTGAAGCTTTGGATCAGCTGCTGTAGGTCCTATACTTGTGGATTTAATTATTTTATACAGAATTTGTAAGTAAATGAGACTCTATAAGTAGAGTCTCACCCTATCCTATATTATATTAGAATCTAATTCATTATTTGTATTATTCCCAAATATAATTGCCTATCTTCAGTAATTCTCATTGAAGTCATTTAATACAAAGGTTGAAAGGGACAGATTTAAAGATCAGTCTTTTCAACCTGAGCTCTCTTTCTGAAGTTGTTGGTACTCCGTGAAATATTATTCAAACAGCTAAGAATGTGCTGTCACCTAGCCGAGTGTTCCTCAAACTATTGTGAAGGTCCAGTTTTTATTTTTAATTATACATTGTCATAAATCAATACATATGTAAAATGCAATAAAAATGAATTACTAGAAAAATGAAATTAAAGACACAAAATACACGTCCTGATTTTTAAACTAGATTGAACAGACAAAATTCCATTAATGGGTACAATCAGAAAAGTAACAGGAAAAAATTTTTAAAACTATATACTGTTTATTTTGAAGCATATATAGGCATTAGTATAGTGAATATATAACTTGTATATATCAAATTACAGGTGAAATAATGATTGCACATACTCATATTTTCACACTTTAAATGAATACCATGTAGATCAGCATTTAAGTTGTTATTGAGACAAATGAATTTGGTTCTTGATATTCAAGGCTGTATTGATGACTGCATAGCTACAAGGGAGAATGTATAGCTAAACCATTTAATTGTAGTTGAATTTAAATTATCTTGATAAAAACGTAGATTAACTTTTATTTTGAAATGATTCTAGATTTATAGGAAGTTGCAAAAATAATAAAGGTCCATGTACCTTTCACCTGGTTTACTACAATGGTAATATATTACGTAGCTATAGTATAGTATCAGAACCAGGAGACTAAATCCACAGACCTTATTGAGATTTCTCTAGTTGTACTTGCGTATATATGTGTGTGTGCATGCACACCCATGTACAGGTTAGGTCAGTGTAGTTTTATCACATGTAGGTTCGGTAACCACCATCACTCCATATCTACAGTTTTGCCATTTCACAAATGGGAGTCATACAAAATGTGACCTTTTGAGATTGACCTTTTTATTCAGTATAACTCCCTTGGGATTCATCAAACGGTTGTGTGTATCCATGGTTCTTTTCTTTCTCTCAGTTAAATATTCCATGGTGTGAAAGTACGACAGTTTAAGGATTCACTTACTGAAGGACATTTGGGTTTTTTCCAGTTTTGGGAGTTTACAAATTAAACCAGTGTGAGCATTGTGTATAGGTTTTTGTGTGGACATAAGTTTTCACTTCTGTGGGATAAATGTCCAGGAATTTGATTGCTGGATTGTATGTGTAGTGTATTTCTTGTTTTTAAACTACCCAACTATTTTTGAGTGACTGTACCATTTTTCATTTCCAGTAGCAGTGTCCCAGAGATGGAGTTTTTCCACATCCTTAGCCAGCATTTAATATTGTTACTTTTTAGTTTAGCCTTTCTGCTACGTATGTTTGATATCTCATAATGCTTTTATTTTATATTACCCTAATGGCTAATGATGGTGATCATCTTTCTCATGTGCTTATTTACCATCTGTGTATCCTCTACTGAAATATCCATTTGTATTTCTTGCCTGTTTTAATTGTTTTTGTTTGTTTACTATTAGGTTTTGAGAGTTCTGTGTTTTGATACAAGTCACATATCAGATATGTAGTTTGCAGATATATATTGCAGATATATTCTCCCAGTCTATAGCTTTTCTTTCTTCCTCTTAAACTGTTTCACAGAGCTGCTTTTTGTTTTGCTGAAATCCAGTTAATTGATTTTTGCTTTCTCTGGATCATATTCTGTCAGGTCTAAGAACTCTTTGCCAGGACCAACATCCTATACATTTTCACTTATTTTACGGTTTTATGTTTTATGTCTAAATTTATGATCCACTTGAAATGATTTTTGTATACAGTATGAGGCTTGTTAGGTCAAGGTTTATTTTTTTATTCTGTTCCATTGATGTGTATGTTTACTTCTTTGCCAGTACCATTTTGCCTCGATTACGTCAATTACTGTGGCTTTATGTATAGTAAGTCTTAACATCAGGAAGAGTGATTCTTTGTCCATTCTTCTTTCTCAAAATTGTTTTAGCTCCTCTAGTTCCTTTTCTCTTTATATGAATTTTAGAATAAACTTTTCTCTACAAAAAAAAAAAAAAGTCTTGCTAGAATTTTTATTGGAATTGTATTTTATTTACAGATCAGTTTAGGAGAATTGACATTCTTGTCATGTCAAGTCTTCCAGACCATGAGTACAGTGTAGCTTTTTTTATTTAGATCTTTGATTTCTTTCATCAGTGTTTTGTGGTTTTTGGCATATTGGTCCCATATCTGCTTTATTATATACTCACATATTTTTTTTTTAGCAAATGTAAGTTGTATTTAGTTTTAATTTAGTTTCTATGTGATCATTGCTAGTATAGTAAGCTTTTGTATGTTGATCTTACATTTTGTGATTTCATTGAATTCCTTATTAGTCCTAGGGATTATTTTTTTAGATTGGTTAGAATTTTCTATGTAGAGAGGCATGTCATCCTGTAAATAGGGACAGTTTTATTTTTTTAATTTGTATGCCTTTTATTTCCTTTTTTGCCTTACTGCACTGGCTAGGATTTCCAGTATTACTTTAAGCAAAAGTGAAGAGAGTGGACATTCTTGTCTTTTTCCTGATCTGAGTGGCGGAGAACGTCTCACCAGTAAATGCAGTGTTAGCTGTAGGTTCTTTGTCAGTGCTCTTCACCAACTGGTGGAAATTTCCCTCTGTTTCTGCTTTTTTGAGTACCTGATTGGGTGTTGGATTATTTTATATGCTTTTCTTTATTAGATGGTATGGTTATGTGATTTTTCTTTTTTACTGTCGATATGCTAGACTACGCTGCTTTTTTTTCTTTTTAATAATTGAATTAAATAATTGACTAGTTCAATTCAGTTATTCCTGGAATAAACTCACTTGGATAGGGTATACATACTTCTTTGTATATAATGCTGGATTCAATTTGCTACCTGGCAGTAGAGACTAGGATAAAGAGTATCTGTTAGCTTAGCACAGTGGCTTCCAAACCTGACTGGTCAGAATCACCTGGCAAAATTAAAAATACACATTTCCAAGCCCTGACCCACACTGATTGAGTTTGGAGTGCTGCCTGGGGATCTGCATTGTAAACAAGCTGTCTAGATGATGCTTATGGAGCCAAGTTAGTCCAGCCATCTTTTTGTAAATTAAAATAGCATATTGAGATTATTGTTTCATATTAAAAACGAAACCAGAAATTTTGAGAGGGCTACCAGCTTTTCCCTATTGTTGTTTATGTTATGTTTTCCTATTACATTTATGTAAACTTAGATCCCCCTACTATTTGAGGATAGAGAAATGAATGCAGTGACAGTCCTTACCACCTGGAAGCACATATGCTGTTTAACAGGTGAAATAGACATGGAAACATGATTATAGTGTATTGTGATAAATTCACTGAGAGGGAGAGAAATGCTCTGGGTGATCTGAGAATGGACTACTTAATTGGACCAATTCATTACCTGGAGGTTTTAGGGAAGTCTTTAAAAGTTACATATTTGAACTGTGTTTTAAAGAATGGTAAAATGGTGCCACACAGAAGAAATGGCATGTGCAAATACAGTTTATGGAAATAATACAGAGAAATTAGGGGATGATAGGACAAAATGCCAGGGAGTATAAGTTTTAGCTCAATGATAGTAGACCCTTTGTCTATGCTAAGGAGTTTGGACATTAGCGTTAGTGGGCTTAACATCAAAGGATTTCAAATAGGAGAACAAACTGATACTACTATTAGCATATTATTTTAGGAAGATAGCTGATAGCCTTATTGAATTAGAAACTGAGGAGAGCCATGCCAATTGCGATCTTCTTCCTATAGCTAGTGGAGATGGTTGCATAAACCGAGGAATGACAGTAGGGTGGAGAGTAAGAGGTGGATTGGAGGTATTTCAGAAGTTAAGTCCATGGGACTTGGTAATTGGATTTACTCTAGGAAGTTTATATCATAGGCTTTTTATGGGAAGAGTTCTTTTTATTCAGGGAGTAAACAAGAAAACATTTAGACGATGTGGCTTCAATTAATTCTCATTTTTCTTCAGTCCACCAGTCCTAGCCATGCTGTGGTAGCCAATGTTCAGCATGTCTTGCATCTGATGAAGCAACATACTAAAGCCTTGTGCAATGATCGAGTGGTCAACAGTGTTCCTTTGGCAAAGCAAGTTTCTTCACGAAATGGTAAAAGTAAGAAGGTGTCAGTAACACCTCCCTCCTCCAGCAGCATTAATGAAGAGTTGTCAGAAGTCTTACAGACTTTACAAGATGAATTTGGGCAAATGAGCTTGTGAGTTTTAGTTTTTGTTTTTTAAATTATATTCAGTTGTAAAACTTTGTTTTAAGTTCTTGGTGACTTCGTTAATCGTATTGTTAATTTATTCTATTCAGCAAGTATCAGAGCACAGTTCTTGAAGCAACCACTGAGCGATTTACTAGGACCTTAACAAATGCAACTGTTCTAGGGGAAATCTCTCCCTTTTTGAATAGTGTTAAATGTTTTGAAGACCAAGGTTCACACTTCAGTTTTATTTCCTTGTTTGGGAGCTTGATATACATTGAGTTTAGTTAAACTTGAATAGGTTAGGATGTATTTGAGGAACAAGATCCTTGCTTTCTTTCTGGGCTTTCCTTTCTACGTGTGTAATATTGTAGGAGGTGGAATAAAAATAATTAAGCCTTTGAAATTAAGAACTGCTTTTACATTTACCTCCAGTGCCTTTCTTGAACCTTTAAACCATCTTGTTGCTTTGTTTAAAAACTGGAGTCATTTGTAATGCACAGAGCAGTGGTCCCATGGTGAGTGGGACATGGTGTGGCCCTAACCATGAAACAGGAAGCTTTATCAAGCCCTACTTTTGTTTTTTATGTAGTGATCACCAGCAGCTTGCGAAACTTATCCAAGAATCCCCAACTGTGGAACTGAAAGACAACTTAGAGTGTGAGCTGGAAGCGTTAGTGGGAAGGATGGAGGCCAAAGCTAACCAAATAACTAAAGTTCGAAAATACCAAGCCCAGGTAACTTCATTTCCCTTTCCTTGTTTCTAATGATTATAAAACAAGAACATTGGGGCGCCTGGGTGGCGCAGTCGGTTAAGCGTCCGACTTCAGCCAGGTCACGATCTCGCGGTCCGTGAGTTCGAGCCCCGCGTCAGGCTCTGGGCTGATGGCTCGGAGCCTGGAGCCTGTTTCCGATGCTGTGTCTCCCTCTCTCTCTGCCCCTCCCCCGTTCATGCTCTGTCTCTCTCTGTCCCAAATATAAATAAACGTTGAAAAAAAAAAAAAAAATTTAAAAAAGAAAAAAAAAAAAACAAGAACAAGGCAGAACCAAAAAACCCTTTTCCCCAAATACATTGATTGATGACATTCAAGTGTATCACAGATAGGGAGTTACAGGAAGTATTTCTTTAGGAATCGGAGTTAAGTGGGCTAAGAAGGAAGACACCATCTTGTAATCTGTGAGAGTAGATTTTATCATCTAAGACACTTCTTTTGAATATTGAATGTATTTATTTTTACCTTTATAAGAACAACCTTTAACTTCTGTGATGAATTTAAATGGTTCCACATTTTCCGAAGTCTTTTAAAAAAACACCTGAAAATTCTTGATTTCGAAAGGAGTAAGTAGATATAAATATGTGAAAAAAAATCTTTTTGTTGCTAATTAAGTTAGTAGAGCAGCCATTTATTTAATATCTACTAAGTGCAGTGGGGAGGCATACTCCCGAATTTTCATCTGGAGAGATACATAATGATTCGTGTCAGAGATTATTGGGACCACTGGGAGTGGGCTGGACACAGGGCAGAGGGGCCGAGAACAGCTCGGCTGCCTGAAGCTCTTCTCGATCAGAGGTTGTGAATGAGTGTAGGTGGGGAAAAGCGGACAGATCTGAGGTAGGTCTTGGAAGTAGAATGATCAGGGCAACTTGCTGCTGAGTGTCATTTGGAGGGAGAGGATGGTGGTACCCCTGATGGAAATGGAGAAGGCTGGGAACAGAACAGGTGTGGCTGATGTTTACTAATGGATTGCTCTATAATAGGCACAGTGTTAAGTGCTTGTGAATATGTCATCTTAATTTTCGTAGAAGACTTGTGAACTGGGCATACTATTTTACAGATAAGGAAGCTGGGTTGAGTGTCCTGGGAGGTAGGCGTATCCTCAAGTGAAATTAAGTAACTTCTGTGTGAGGACATACCAGCTCACTGGTGAATGGCAGAGCTGGAATGCAAACGTGGTTCCTCTGAACTCCAAAACCGGGGCTTTTAAGCATTTTTTGTAAAGTTCACATTAAAAAGAATGAATAGGAGCAAATGATCGCTGCAGGAGTAATGGTCTAATTTGTTTCTTATACATCAGGCTCAACCTTATTCTCTCTAACGGAATACCAACCTAGCAGCAGCTTAAAGTAAAAGTAAAGCTCTGTAAAAATAAGTAAATATAAGCTATTTTAAGTTATTCTAAAGTAGTGAAATAACAAAAACCTTTTGTTAGTATTAATACATTACCATTACATCTCTTCATCCATCTGGAACATGTTTCGTTACCTCCTCAGACTAGTTTCTAGAACACCTTTCTTTTGTTTTCTGTAAGACCTTCCCCAGACCCTCTTGTTTCTTACTTGCTCTGTTCTGTACTTTGGCCACACGCTGCCTTACCTTCTGAAACAGCATCAGTATTGATGTGTTTACTTCCATTCACCTCGTTTGTATGTTGCTTTCTGTTTTTAAGCACTTAGCGTCAAATCACTAGTACCAGAGATTTTTGAAGACTTTATAAAAAAAGAAATACACTCAGAATGTATTATTGGCATTTTAGCTTGTATGAGAATTAAAAATAACAGTTGCCAGAAGAGGACATTTTCATTGAATCCTCCTTTTTCCCTGCCTTGGTTACTTGCTGTAGCTGGAGAAACACAAGATAGAGAAGCAGAAGAGGGACTTGAGGACCCCCAGAAAGACTCTTGATGAAGAAGGAAACAGCAGCAGTCGTTCTTCTGGAATCACGGGGACCACAAATAAGAAGGACGTTGCCAAACCGAGACCTGGCGAGAAAAGCAGGAAAAATCTTCAGTTGTTGAAGGACATGCAAACCATACAGAGTTCATTACAAAGCAATAGTTTGTGTTGGGATTACTGACTGGTACCAGGTCATAAATTCTATTCAGATAATCTGTACCTCAGAAATCAGATTTTGGCAATTTACCCTCCAGGTCTCATACTCTTACGTTGGAATTAATGAATAGCAGGTGTTAAGGGGCCCAAGCTTCATTACACAGGCGTCCTGTGTTACGCATCATGACTAAATGTTAAACCACCTAAATGGAAACCAGGGGAGTTTTAAAGGCTAGGAAGCCACACACTCTGCATCTTTGTTTGAGATGAATTTGCTGTACTGAAATACTGCACTTTGTAAACAGATTACCAATTTTTTACTTGTGGGTGTGATTTTTAAAATAATTCCTTAGATATCTAAGTAAAATTAGGTTTAAATTATCAAAATAGGAGGCTGTCCCATAGGCAATGTTTGCTTAAAAAGTCTCATTTTTAATCTTCCCCTGGCGTGAATCGCCCATTTCTCCTTTCCAATACATCCATTAAATATACTTTGTTTTGACTATGGATACAGGTTTTCTATGTGTAAGTATTTATACAAATTTAAGAGGATTGGTTTGTTTCACTTTTTGACATTTTGAACACTGATCAATATTAAATACACTTCTATTGATATAATCCATCATTAAAAATTTTTGAAAGACCCAAGCATTCATTGTCAGTTAACTGCAAAAATTATAAAGCATTTTTTAAAGTATAAACGAATTATTAATGAAGTAAATGAGGTTTCTGAGTGAAGAGGAAGTGTTGTATAGCATATGCATATGTTGTTTTTAAATAATACCTGTTTGTAATCATGGTATTCAGTTCAAAGCATTGTGGTTTTTAATCTTAAAAACTCGGAAGAGCTCCTGGGACCTGTTATCGGTGTATAGTGTGAGTGCAGTATTAACTGTACATGTGCCATTGTCATTGTGTTAATAATGTAAATCATAATTTTGAATAGATCAAGACATGTTAGCTTTTTATAAATTTGCCACTGAAGTCAATAAAGCAGCTTTATTAAGGAAACACTGAAATTTTCCTTAACAGCCTATTAGCGAAGGCTATATTTGTTGTAATCTCTCCAAAAAAATGCATTTCTAAATAGGACATTAACATATTACGAGAAACAATAAGAATATATGCTATTATATAATTTATTTTCCTATCTCATGCTCACATAGAAACTAAACCCGACAAGATTGAACTGTCTCAAGGCCTAAAGAGTCCTAATGAACACATTAACCAGGTGTTAAAGAGATTTCATTTTTATGCCTCCCCTGGGATCGAAATGGAGTTCTGGGCTTTTATCTGGGTAACCAGCATGAAATGCAGTGCCTCTCTGGGCACTAAGCTTATTAGGCCTCTTAATTGAGTTAATTTTTCACAGAGTTCTTGATTTAGGGTCCTTCAATTTGGAGCTATTTGTGAGTGTTCTGAAATTGTAAACCTTTGCTTGAGTGTGCGGTTTTGTATCTTCATTGAACTCACAACAGTGAGTCCACAGACCCAAGGCAATCACTGCTCTGGTGATATGGAAAACATTTGTTGTGTCTCAACCACCATTTCAAACTATTAAACTTTTGTTATCTCTGTGTTTGAATTTCAGGTCATTAAATTGTAGGAGACTCATTTTGCATTGTAGTGGCTCTATGTCCTAATTAGAAGCTTAATGGTGTTAAAACCCACCCCATCCCTTGGGTAAGAGTCAAACTAAAACATCCACTCCAGCCTTTAATACGCTCAGGTGAGAAGTGAAAATAAGAAAATGCCAATGCCGCTTCAGTTTCCTTATCTGAGAGTTTATAGCAGAGGAGTACGTGGTCACACATCTACTTTTGTTGTAAGGGCACTGTTGAAATGCATTTCAAATACAAGTGTCCTCTATGTGTAAGATGCCAATCTGGATACCAGGCTAAGTAAGAAAGGTATGCTTACAGGTAGGTGGTAGACATCTGAATTACGTCAACACCGTGTGGTTAACGCAGTGGTGATAACATGGACACAGCGCTGTTGGGGACACAGAGGAAGGGGGCAGGCATGGCAGAGAGGAGTGATGAACAGGGGGTAACATCCTGGAGAGAGCAGTGATCGCTCAACTCTGGAGAACTGGAATTAGCCAGAAGGAAGAACAGTTCCAAGTCAACAGGAGAAAAGAAAAGTGTAGAGGCCGGAATCTGCAGTTGACACGGGAGAGTTGTGACCAGCTGAGTGGTACTTGTACATAAAAGTTGAGGTGTGCAGGTGAGAGTGGAAGGGGAAGCCAACAAGTTACAGGAGGCTAAAGAGCTTAGACATAACCACATAGGCCTCTTGTTTTTTATAGCCCCAATGATAAAGGAACCAAGGGCACCTGCACATCCAGTAAGTAGTCTGTCAACTCAAAGTTCTGTTGGTGTGGATAAATATATAAAAAATACTAACACTCTCCTCCTCTGCTTCCACACACCCCCCTCACCAATGAATTGTGCTTTTTTCCAAGCTTTGTTAGAAACTTTTTTTTTTTTATGATTTAAATAATTCCTACACCCAATGGGCTCAAACTCACAACTCTGAACTCAAGAGTCATAGGCTCTGCTGACTTACTCAGCCAGGTGCCTCAAATCTTTTTAATGTGTAAGGGTGTGTGTGTGTGTGTGTGTGTGTTTGAATAAATTTGACATAAAACTGTAAATTTAAGATATACAATGTGTGACTTGGATACATTTACATATTGTGATATGACTGCCATTGTTGTGGTATTTCACATTACATACTTCCAGTTCAACATTGTTGTCTATATTCCTTATGCTGTGCATTAGATCTCTCTGGCTTTTTAATATTACTTGTTGCAGCTTTATATCCTTAAACAGCATCAGTCTTATCCTCTTCTCCCATCCCTGGTAACTACCTCCTCTCCTGGTGATTGCTATTTTACTCTTTTTTACAAGTTTGACTCTTCCACATATAAGTGATCTCATAGAGTATTCATCTTTGACTTCTCTCAGTGTGATGTGCTCAAGTTCCATCCACTTTGTTGCAAATGGCAGGATGTCCTCCTTCCTAATGGCTGAATAATACTCCATTGTGTACCTATAGCACATCTTTTTTTATCCATTCATCCTCTGATGGGCATTTAGGTTGTTTCTGAATCTTGGTTATTGTTAATAATACTGTTGTAAACATGGGAACACATACATCTCTTTGAAAGTCTGTTTTCATTTCCTTTGGATATATACCCAGGAGTGGAATTGCTGGATCATAAGTACATCTACTTTTAATTTTCTGAGGATATTCCATATTGTTTTTCATAGTGGTTGGACCAATTTGCATGCCCACCCACAGTGTATAAGGATTCCCTTTTCACCACATCCTTGCCAGCACCTGTTGTCTCTTCTTGATATTAGCCCTTCTAAGAGGTGTGAGATGAGAACTTAGGGTTTTGCCCTGCATTTCCCTGATTAGTAATGTTGAGCATCTTCACGTGCCAGTTTGCCATTTTGATATCCTCCTTGGAAAAAAATGTCTATTTCGTTTTTCCTGCCTAACTTTTAATCAGATTGTTTGAATGTCGTATGAATTCTTTATATATTTTGGATATTAACCCTTCATCTGATAAGTGGTGTGCAAATATTTCTCCCGTTCTGTAGGTTCTTTATTGCTTGTGTGTAAGCTTCTGAGTTTGATGTAGTCCCATTTGTTAATTTTTCCTTTTGTTTGTGCTTTTGGCATCGTGTCAAAAATCATTGAGACCAACATCGAGGAGCTTCCTCCTGTGTCTCCTAGGAATTCTGTGGTATCTGGTCTTACGTTTAAGTGTTTGGTACATTGTGAGTTAATTTTGTGAGTGGTATGAGATAGGGGTCCAATTTCATTGTCCTCTGCATGTATTTCTCCAGTTTTCCCAGCACCACTTGTTAGAGAGACTGTCCTTTCCCCATTAGGTGTTCTTGGCTCCCTTGTCAAGTATTAGTTGATTATATATGCCAGGGTTTAATTCTGGCCTCTATTCTGTTCTATTTATTAGTCTGTGTCTCTTTTTGTGCCAGTACCATACTGTTTTATTACTCTGGCTTTGCAGTATACAAGTGACCCTTGAACAACATGAATTTGAATTCATGTGTGGGTCCGCTTACACATGAAATTTGTGTGGGTCCCATGTGTGGGTCCGCTTACACATGAAATTTGTACAATATTGTAAATGTATTTCCCTTAAGATGTTCTTAACATTTTTTTTCTCTCCGGCTTACTTTAAGAATACACGCTATATAATACATATACAAAATATGTGTTTTTCAGCTCTTTGTTATTGGTAAGCCGTCTAGTCAACAGTAGGCTATTAGTAGTTAAGTACTGGGGGAGTCCGAAGTTATACTAGGATTTTAAACTGTATGAGGGCGTCTGTACCCCTAACTGCTCGATTGTTCAAGGATGCCTCTGGCACTGGTCTTTTTCTTGGGATTACTCTGTGCATTTGGGGTTGTTAGTGATTCCACAAAAATTTTTGGATTGTTCTATTTCTGTGAGGAATGCCTTTCATATTTTGATGGGTATTGTGTTGAATCTGTAGATGGCTTTTGGTAGCATGAACATTGTAACAACATCTTCCAGTCCATGAACACAGGGTGTCTTTCCATTTGTCTTTGATTTCTTTCAGCAAAGTCATACAGTTTTCATCGTACAGATCTTTCACTTCCTTGTTTAAATTTATTCCTTAGTATTTTATAGTTTCTTATGCTATTGTGAATGGTGAGTTTATTTTTCGAATGTTTCATTAGTGTAAAGGAATGCAACTGATTTTGTGTCCTGCAACTCTCCTGAAATTGATTAGTTCCAACAGTTTTTTGTTTGACTCAGAGTTTTCTACATATAAAAGCATTTCACCAGCAGATTGAGATGATTTTACTTCTTTGCCTATCTGGATACCTTTCATTCCTTTGTGTAGCTAGTAATTCTAATAGTGTTTTGAAAAGAAGTAAGAGTGGACATCCTTGTCTTATTCCAATCTTAGGAGAAAAACTTTCAATTTTTCTCCAGTGAGTAGAACGTTAGCTCTGGATTTGT